GCTTTTTAGTTCTTACGATTGGTAAGGGAGAGTGTTATTTTGGCCATGATTACAAAATTAGCTAGAAGAAGGTTTCGCAAAAGTTGTCCGCAAATTTCAGACTGCAAGCGCCAACGGTGAAAATGAAATCATGACCACAGCGCAGTGAACGAGTTCGAGAATACCACTCCAGTGTTGCGTGCGCCTATGCTGTGATGTGCAATCCGGCTGGCACAGTGACAGATTCGCATTGTCGCTAAGCAATAAAGATTTTTGTAAACGAACGCAGTATTTTATTTACATAGAACAGTACACGGAGCATATGCAGCTAGTCATCGTGCTGGTAGCACAATAATATTATAATAACTTCTTATTATACGTCATCATAATATAATTATGTGCTACAGAACAGCACGGTGCGGGCAGTGCGGCACAGGGATGACCTTTTCTTGAATTTTTTCTAGGTTGAACGCCCGTTATCTTACATTAAGCCTTGTGGATACCTTAACCGTTAAGGTCTCCACAATTCCTTAGGGTGCCATCATTCTTTAGATAATAAAATACTTGGTATCTATTTTGTTAACCAACAAACAAAAAACATATTGCGCGTTGATTAATTAATACATACTGATACATTAATGATTAAACATACAAAGTACATTCTTAGCACCTTCACACAAAGTACCAATACATACACTGCACGCCATTAATACGGTGCAGTACAATGATCTATGCCGAAGTGCCCTCATGCCAAAGTGTCTTCATGCCGAAATGGTTGGACACGGGATGGGCGTCTTGTACTTTGTGCACAGTTCACACAAATGAAGCACTGGCCAGGGTGGCTATGTGCAGCTGTTTGCAGCCATCAAAGATACTTCCGTAACGGACACAGAGGAGCAGTGAAAAACTGCTCTGTAGTTATGACGTCATCATACTTGATCGCGACGAGGTCATACTTGGGACTTCCGTAACGGCCACACAAGTGAAGCCATGTAAATCTGCGTTACATGACGTCACCAGGAAGTTGTCTACGATGACAGAACTCGTACTCGTGCTGAATTTCTACTGGGATTTTCCACACAAAGAGTACAGAGGGTTATTCAGCCAAGTGTGGTCACTTTTTGGAAAATTTCTGCTTAGCCGTTGCAGGCTTATTTTACTTTTTTAAAAATTTTATCAGATAACCACAACATTTAATCATATTCTGAATTCAACCGAGCCAAGATTTCGCTATCCTGTAGCCCAGGAAAAAATTAAGTTTATCCCCCCCATGTTGGCAACAGTTGACCAGTTCAGCTATCGGAAATGGATTCCCTTTACTCAAAATTAATTTAAAATTTGGGTTTTCGCCATAATCCATTGAAAACCTGTCAGGGTTTCGAACAACTTTTTCAGAAGGAATTACTAGTTTTTTCGATCAGGAAGCAACATCCTTGTTTTTCAGCAGTGCTCCCGGGAGCACATCTCTGGTTCTGGATGACTTCTTCCTCTCTGCCAGGCTTAATCCGCGGAGCGTCCTTTTCGATCAATGAACATTGTAAATTGTGAAGAAAGACCTGCGTTACAACTTTAGTTTGTGGAGGAACGAAAAGGATAGCTATAGCTCCGTGAGTAAGAATTCGCACAATGAGCATGGCTCCTGCGAGTGTCTTCCTGTTTTCGCGTTTTTCCAACCGTCCTACCGCAAGAACGCGCAAGAATATGGAATCGTTTTTGCTACGAAAATATTCGGATCGTCGTTTTTTACAATTAAAACCATCCAGATTTGAAAAGCAGACGATCCTTTTAAGGCCAGATCATCGAAAGCCAAATTTTGCCTGGTCAAAGGTTTAGAGTCGGAGTCTTTAGGTCAGTAGCCAATCTTGCGGGCTGTTTAAGCTCGATTGTCACAAAAATTTGCAAAAAGCATCAAAACTAATTTGTCATAATAAAACAATTATTAGAATCTGACTCTGCGCTACAGCTGAATTATAGGAATTTTTTTAATGCGCTGACCACACTTGGCTGAATAACCCTCTGTACTTAATGAATTAAAAAAAATGATAAATTAATTAAACGTATACCTCATAAATCCCTCATAACGTATACCCTTATATACAGTAGTATCCACCCCTTTATGAGGTGTATGCGGCCGAGAGTTGAACTGTTTAGTAGACTATAACCCTATTAATAGTTTCTGTGTTATCAGACATACTTATGCGTTCTGGCTGAGTGAGTCACGAAAAAACTGATGTGTTATAGACTTTTGCATACCGGTTCACAAAAGTCACGTCCGATGAGGACATGCTAACGTACACACAGTACTTTTTTATCTTGGTCAGTACAATTATCTGTGCTGTGTACGACAAATTTATCGTCAGCACACGAAAATTGTCGTCGATAAGAAGAATATGTCGAAAATAGCAATTCAAGTTGAATTCGCGCGAATACATCGCGTAATGCGCGCGCGTAAACAGTGAGCATAAAATTAATAACAATCGTTTACATTCATTTTGCTTTCTTCGCCCAGTTGGTTGTTGTGCTGGTACATGTTAACTGTGAAAATTCATTTTATAATTATAATTATGTCTGATTAGGTTTTGCCGTTTTGTTACATTGCTAAACGTGGCGTAGCTAAAGAACTTTCGCCACTGAATTCTTTACGACGCAAAAACAGCAAGAAAACGGTTCGTCTTTTTTTAAAAGTTTCAAGCACTCTGTGAAGTTACATCTTGTTTAATTATTTGGATGAAATAAATAACCGGTAGAAAATCAACTTCGTCAGAAAGCACCAAATGCGATTGCTTGCCCAACACGACTAGCAGAGTGTGGTCAGTCAGCGCACCGCGTGTGCCAAGCTAACAAGACCGTAATTATAATTAATTGTGTAAAAGGATATGAATGCATACGCATGCCTACTTGAAATAATTATAAAGCCGCCATAAATCGCCATAGTGTACATGCATGTACGCCTACTTATTACGCGCATTGATAATGCGCACATTGTACAGTCTGCAATCTGCATCATCTACTGTACTCTGTAGCACATTCCGTCACGGTTGAAGTCAGAATAACGAAAAAAACTTGTGTTATCAGTGTTTCACATGGAGTGAATTCGCAACGGCAGTATCAACATGCAGGACTCTTTCACTCTGTACAGTCACTCTGTACTGAGTCTGTACTCTGTAGCAGCAAAATTAGTCTGTGATATTACAAGTCCAAACGTGAAATGTCAGACGAACACACTCTTCGCATGCACCGCACTGGACTATTAAATTTTATTGCTGATGCGACCGGTGTTTATACATATATTTCGCCAATTTCGGAATATACCTATCCGGCATCTAATTCTACAGTAGTTGATTCAAAGCAACTGTTAGAAAATGCAGTATTTCTGTGGTTATGTATTGACGGTGTGACCAATTATTATCTTATACCAGTGCACACTTCTTTGCTGACTTGTGAGAAGAGCAGCTAGTTTGAATTGTTAGAATTTCTAGCAGCTAGTTTGAATTGTTAGCAGATCGGCTAATAGCATTAAAAAGGATTAAATGGATCCCATTGGCAAATATAATCAACACGTTAATTTTTATCGACTGAACACCGTTGCCCAAAACAAGCAGGACAATCGCACTTGGTTGTGAACTGAATGGTCATCAACTTTGTTCGAGTAATTAACAAAACCCTTTACCCGCAAGCAGTACTGATTTTCGTACTTTAAGATTGAGGATCACAAGCAGACCATATTACCTGAGACTACATAGGTATTTCCAGATTTACTGGATGTAATGATTATTACCGTCGAATAATTACGGTGCAGCTATTGATGTCTTTTCCAATAGGTCATCACTCACATACAATTAATACTATTAGGTACTACATACTAGTGACTGCATCCTGAACAACTTGAGAAACATACGCAATTTACGGCATTCGTCTAATTAAACAAAAAAAATAATAATAATTTTATGGTCACTATTTTATGGTCACTATTATGGTCACTATGGTCACTCGTACTATCTCTGTGTTATAACACAGAGATAGTACGAGTACTCTATATAGACGTTTGTCACTCTACAAATACAAGTAATGTACACTTATCCTGGAACCGTTGGCAATATTTAAGCACATTTTGATTTACCCTGCGCTGCGTACTTCTGGCCGAGAAAGCGAAACAAAATTTCAAAGAAAGTTACCTGTTTTGGTATAAATCTGTCCAGCGCCCTATTTGACAGTGCATACAGCATAAAAAGTGCCATTTAGAAACTTTTTTACGCGAGCTCTAGCACTCTTAAAAATAGCTTTGGAAACTCGCTCCTTAAGCATCTATCGACAGAGGCGGCCTAATCACGGAGAAAATTTGGTTTAAATTCGCTTCCATCGGCGTCGTCCCTATGGTCGATGCCGCATTTCCTCGTTGGATGTCGAGGCTGATCCGCTGGCGAAGATATTCCGTGGCTTGTTTTTCGCCGGTTTCTAGTCGTGTTTTCTGTGCGAATTCCGTTATGGTGCGGCAGCTTCCGGTCCGGAAGGTCCGAGCGTCTCAAAGCCCAAAGCACGGAATAGGTAGTCCTGGCCAATATTACGATATTTCTCAATCTTGTCCTGCTCTGCCTGTACGTGAGCCGCTTCTCGGCTCACACGGTATTGCTGCACAATTAGCAGAGCACATTACACTTTTTTGTCACACGTTTGTCTTTCTATTGGTAGAGCTTAGTTTTCTGTTAATTTTAATGTGTTTGTCAGATTAATACTCGTAATCAGAGCTATGTGTGAACGCGCACTGTTTACAAGTGACAAAAAAAGCACGTGTTGCTATGGGCCTCCGCCCTACGACCACTTCCCGTCGCACCAGAGTCGCACGGCACCCAACCGCCGCAGCGCGCCATCCGGGTGAGAATGGTCAATTAATTAAAAGCCGGCGCGTGCCGTGTGCAGCCGCGCTCGGTGGCGGGCACATGTCCGGCACCGACGCAGTGACGCCATTGCAAGAGTCGCACTACCCAACCACCACACGGAGACAGTTACACTCATGACTCAACCCACACATCCGGGTTCGATTTTCGAGACAGTTGTGCAACTCGGAATGATGGAAATTCATGAATCGACTTGTTTCGCTTTTTCTCCCCGTTTAGTTGTCTGCTGGCTGATCTTTTGTCGCGCCAAAAGTTCTTTCGTTCTTCGACCTGCCGGAATATTTCTTAACGCGTAGAGCTTCAAGTTACTCTCAACAGTGCTTTCACTACTTTAATTTTCGACTCACCATAAAACTGGCTGTCAACAGTAAAACTGATCATCTTTGTGAAACTACCCGTACCCAACGGACGCCTGTAAAACTTGTTAAGCCTTGATGTTTAGAAGTTGATATTGCGGGGGTTCCGAATTTCGCCAGAACCTACAACGGGCTGATGTTGGCAACGGCGGATGACGCTCCGCATCAGGTTATTATCAGCACAAACAGGTAGGACTCCTTGGCAAAGCTTGAGTGTTCACTGGTTCAGTTGTCTGCTTCCTACAACGCAACAGTGTAATTTCCATACTTCCAAGAAAATACGAACAGTACTGAGTTTGTCTTGCGGAAACGCGTCGCTGTCGTGTTGCTATGATATGGATGCGCGTTGCAGATGCGTCGCATTCCTTGATGCGCAGTCCCTTCAAGGATGACGCAGGAGACCCCATCTAACGCCGTTATGTAAGTGTGCATTTCACAGTCAGTTTCGACTGTTTAGTACTTGCAATCGAAGACAACACAAATCAGCACAAATTAATAATCCAAGTAAGTAACATATCCAGTATCTTAATTCAGTTTTATTTATTGTGAATTTCTGGGGATATTCCGATATTGGATTGTATTTATTTCGGTTATTAAACTGTTATTTTTATTGTTTTTCTACCTAATTTTTATTTTTTGGTGAGTTGTCATGTAGGTGTAGTTTGGTTTCTTTTGAAGTGTGAGGGAATTTAATTGCATTTACTCTGGTAATAAAAAGTCTAGTTAGAATTTTGCTCGAATAAGAAGAGAATTAAATCAAATAAAATAAAAAAATCATCTTGATAAATACAATTTAATTGCCAACAATTGCAGCAACCGAATCAGCCATTCAGCCAAGTTCAACGCCCGGACGAGCACGGACGACGACGACGACATCCAGATCATCGGCAGCGTCGCGGCCCCTCCCCCGGATCCGGCCGCGCCCCGTCCCCCGGGTCCGGCCTTCCTGCGCCGCTACGTCATGGGCAACCGCAGCAGCGCCCTGCCCCCGCACGGGCCCCCCGCACAGGAACCCCGCCAGGTCGCGCCCCCCGGACTGCGCTTCATCCGAGTGGCGCCCGCGCGGCTGACGGCCCCCGCTCCCACCGCCGCCGCTCCCCCTGCGACCATCTCCGACAGCAGCGCCCCCGCGGCCGCGCCGCAGGCCGACGCCGGGGCCCCGGCGCCTCAGGAACCCCGCGAGGCACTTTTGCCCCTTCGTCAGGGTACGTACGTGTTGTGTGTCGATGGAGAGTAATTTCATCGTTAGATTGATGTAAATCAGTTATTTCTTCATTCTTAAGTTTCTCGTTTCTACCGTAATTGGTATTTACTGATGCGGAATACGGAATAAACTGTTAAATCAGCAAATAAATATCGAAAAATAAATTTTATTCTCCAGTTCATTTAATATAAAATGCGTTAAATCAGATCCCTGCCCTTATATGTTTGAATCAGTTATAGGAATAAATTCACAGAAAATAGAAATAAATAATAAGACACTCCATTTTGCTTCTTACTTATATGGACAGTTGCCTTTTATTTTTTCTGTTAAAATAATGATATTTTATGTCTATTCAGTCAGTTAACTTAACCAGTACAATGACAGCAGTTTGAAATGATTTTAATTTTTTGCCAATTTTTTGTGGAACAAATCTGCAGACGCCATCAAACCGGACCCGCTGGGGCCTTCCGCCGACAGTCTTCCCGCGGACCCCGAGCCCCTCCCGCCGGCCGGGGACCCCTCCCCACCCCCCGCTCCCTCCTCCACCTCGCCCGCACCCCCCGCCGCGCCGATGGACACCGCCGAGCCCGCCCCCATCCCCAGCACCTCTGCCGGCCTCCCTGACGCCGAGGGGCCCGAGCGGCCCTCCTCGCGGGCCTCCAGTCCGCCCAGCGAGATGACGGAGGAGTACTTTGAGCGGCATCTGCACATCCGCGACCTGGACGCCCCCATCCCGCCCGAGTACGACGTGCCGTACGACACGGAGACGGAGGAGGAGGACGCGGACGACGAGTACGATGAGGACGAGGTGTACGAGGAGGAGGAGGAGAAGGAGCCGCAGGTGGACTACTACGCCGAGGTGGAGGAGGTCATGGACGCCATGGCCGAGGGCCCCGACAAGCTGCGTCTGGGCAAACTGGTGGAGTTGGCGCGGGAGTGCGATCAGCGGGTCAAGGCGCTCGAGCGCCAGGACGTCGATATGGACGACGAGGCGGCCTACTACCAAAACACGGTAACGGCATCCACACACAATTTTGCCTTTTTATTTTGCGGATTTTGTTCCTGGAATTTTTGAACTTTAATTTCCTTTGATTTTTTCTCTTAGATTTATTTAAGTCCTCTTGTGTTTTTTATGCTGGATTTTTTCGTTATTTCTTACGGTTATCAATTTTTACTGGTCGTAGGTATATAATGGTACTTGTTTTGATTTGTCAGCCGTATTTATTTTGGTTTTTTCAGCTGTATTTCTCTCTTGGTGTAGGTGAATATTTATTATGCATTTTTGTTTTGAATTCCATTTTTTTCGGTTTCTATATATTTTTAGCTACGCAATTCGAATTTCGAGTTTGGCTGTTCAGTGTTATTTATTATGGTTATCAGTTATATTTGTATTTGTAATTTAACTGTGTTTATCCCGGTTGTCTTATTTTTGTTTTAGGCATTCAGTTTTGCTCATCTCGGCTTTGTATAACTGTGATTTTTTAATGGTTTAATTTACTGATTGTGTTTTATTCCGTGTTTATTTATTTACAAGTTACCTTGATTATTTAATATTACTCTGTACTTCTGTGTTTTTGATAATCTGCAGTTTTGGCACGTTTTGGATCGGGTTTAATCAGATTAAATAACAGGCTGAAATAATCACATGACTAATAAATTAGTAAATTAATGAAAATAATGCATGAGTTATAGATGGAGCAGGAGAAGTGGAAGAAGCGCAGCGCCGCCTGCCTGGAGGAGATCGTCAAACTGGCGGAGATGGTGGAGGAGGAGGAGGCCGGCGGCGGCCGGGAGCGGGCGCTGCGGGGCTTCCAGATGCGGCCGTTCGTGTACAAGGGCAGCGGCGTGCACCGACTGGACCAGTGTCTGACGCGCATGGTGCAGAAGTCCTGCGCCGACAACGTGCAGGCGGCCGCCGCCCGCCGCGCCGGCCAGAAGGCCGACTTCCGCAAGGACTACAGCGAGGAGCACGTGCGCATCATCATGCAGAAGATCGCCGCCGAGAAGAAGCAGCCGCGCCTGCGCCACGAGGAGACGCGCCGGCCGCTGGACGTGCAGGACGTGTATCCGCGCTTCCACCGCGCCGTCAAGCAGTACCGCGCCAAGATGTTCCGCAAGACCGTCGTCCCCAAATTCGCCTATAGCTTCGAGTCAGTGAAAAATAGTTCAAGAAAATAATTACAATAATAATTACAATGTTAATTTAAAGAATTTGAAATGGGCGGTTTTATTGGTGATTTATTGAAAACTTTTGCGAGCGGTTCCAAATTTCCCTGCACCCTCGATGGGTGAAAATAATTTATAAAAATAAACACAATGATAATCGTAATATTAATGGAAAGAATTTAAAATGGGTGTTTTTTATTGGTGATTTAATTAAAAATTTTCGCATTTGAAAGGGTGTTTTTATTGGTGATTTATTTCGCAAAAATTAGTTTAAGAAAAAAAATAGGGTAAAAGTAGTTTAAGAATAATCGTTGTAATAATGCAAAGAATTTACAATGGGCGTTTTTATTGATGATTTATTTACAAATTCTCTGCCGAACGGTGGTTCGGCTAACAATTCGTAATAAGAAATTTGCTGTTCTTTCGAGGAAGTGACGAACGTTTTCTTTGAGTTAAAAAATGCAGCAAAAAATTCGGGTTATTTTTTTTATTACAGTAAATTGTCTTGCTGAAACCGCATGGGTGATTATTTTGTTTTGTATATATCTTTTATTGTCTGTTATTTCTTGTTATTAATTATTGATTGTTTCTGTGGAATTTGTTGCATTAAATCTTGCGATTGGCAGTGAGCCGCAGTTGCCGCGCGACTTCAACCTGGAGCAGCGCCTACTGATCAACCAGGACCGGCGCGGCTTCCTGGACCGTTTCGCGGAGGAGTACGAGGCCAAGCTGCGCGCCGAGGGCCTGGTGGTGGAGCGCGACGAGGCCAATCCGGGCGCCAACAAGCCCGACTTCTCCAACGACGAGTACGACCTCGTCGAGGAGGAGGACGACGACGAAGGAGAGGCGCCGCCGGCGCAACCGGAAGACGTCGCCGTCGACGCGGCGGACGCCGGCGCCGGCCGCGACGGGGATGTGGCGATGGAGCAGGATAAGGAGGAGGAGGAGCGGGTGGAGGACGGGATCGACGCGCAGTCCAGCACCACCGAGGAGCCCGAGGGCAGTCTGCCCCGCAGCGAACCCGCCACCGGTACGCTCCTTACAATCACTGGATATTGACCCACAAATTATTGCAAAAATATTTTTTTTGAATATTTTAAATAAATACTCTTGCTGTACTTCTGTAGAAAGATACAAACTTATTCAAGATTTGCCTGGTTTCTGTAAAATTAATTGAGTATTGTGTATGCGTGAAATAAAAAATACGGCAAAAAATATTAAAGTAAATATAAATAAATATAAAACATTAAATACGGCAAAATTATTTTGTAGAAACTAAAATAAATATTGAAAAAGCCATCAGTGTCATGTCAAAGTATCCGTATTGTCAAAATATTTGGCATAAAATGTGATTGGTTATATACAGTATTTATCTGAAAATTATTCGTCAAAATACTTTGGTATAAACTGAAATAGTTGCAGCATAAATAAGAAAAATCAGTGGAAAAACAAGCCAACTAAATTCTAATTAGTTATACAGTGTGAATTCCTTCATCAGGTATTATTACGCCGGAATAGCAGAAAGATAAAACCGTCAAACGAAAACGAGACTAAAATAAGCAGGAATTAAAAGGGGTTTTCCTAATTCATGCTAGAAGAAATAATAATTTTTTTTAAAAAAACTAATAAAAAAATTGGAAAAATTTACCAAAAAATTTGAAAAATGTACAAAACAGTTAATAAAAGTTGAATGAATAATTCATTAAATGAATGGTAGTTTATTTGCTTGTAATCCCGGTAGCATCGCCCGGCAGCAGTAAGCGCAAGAGCCCCGAGGACGACGCCAGCCCGTCCCCTGCGACCGGGGAAGGAGAATCAACGTTGAAGCGCAGTAAATCGGAGGTGATCAGCAGCGAACTGGACAACCTCCACATCGACGCCCCGCCCCCTCCCGCGCCGCCGCCCCTGGTGGCGCCCCCTCGCAAAGCGCCGACGCCGCCGCTGATCGACCTGTGCGACACGGACGACGACGCGCCGGACGACGAGGGCCTGGACGAGGCGGCCGCGCAGGAGAACATCCGGCCGCCCGCGGACGGCGACGCGGACGAGTATCCGGATGATGTGCTCAATCTGCTCAGCGACGACTAATGTATCAACTTGATCATTGTGCGCTTAACATGGACGAAAAGCACAGCGTTGCGTGGATTATTTAGAGGAAACTGCGGCGTTTTCCGTGCAGTATGCGCTGCAGCCGGAAGTCGTTTTCCGACATTTTGACCGGCTCGGCATCATGACCTCTTCTGTTTTTCTGGCAGTTTAACGAGAATTTTTCCAGCTGCATTTTAATGAGCATTTTGTAGCGGTGTTTTCGCAGTGGTTGCGCCTTTTTTTTATTAGCCTGTCGTTGAAATGTTCTGCACAATATTCTGCTGAGAAAAAATTACTAATGTTATTGGTCTCCTGTTCCTGTTAAAATTCAAGCAATTTCGGGTCGTTGTGCAAATGAAACTGATTGAGAAATAAGAAAATAATCCTCAACGATTTTTTATGTATTCTTTCGGTTTTAATTAATTTATCCTATAAGCTAAGAAATTTAAAGAAATATTAACACTGTTGCTGATGTAGCGTTATCTGTCAAACAACCATTTCATTGTATTTTATATTTTGTAAATGTCCAGAAAATTCTTTTTTTGATTTTTCCACTTTCTTTCTCAATAAAAAAATGGCCATTTTGTTCATATTGTAACAGACAAGCACGAGGAGATCACGAGTGAGCTTTATTGTACAAATAAAGGGGGAACAATGCTGCGTAATAGCAGGAAAGCAAGAACAAAGCACTGATGGCTAAAATAGCAAGTGTATGCTAAAGTGGTTCTTGAGGCGTGAAAGAAGTGCTGGCGGCAACCACGTGCTGTGTGCCATCAGCTGTGTGATGATGCGCAGACTGGACTCTATCCAACGCGAGCGTATGAACGCTGAGTCATACTGCGAGAGAGGAACGAGAGAGCAACCCATAAAAAAAACCTAGACGGAATCCGAAGTTTGGCTGGAGACTTTTCTCGTGACAATATCGATCGCTAATTTTACATGTCCCGAGTCGTAACCAGCTTATGCTAAAGCTAAAACGGGCTATGTCGCATTAGCTGGGCGCAGTCCAACCAAGTTGTAGATCTGCTCATACTCCAAATGAAATGGAATATAAGTCATCCTGTATACCCGGTGCGTTCACACATGATACCAACGCTGGCTCCAACCAGAATCTATATTTGCTATTTAGTACAGAAAAAAAGAGCATGTACACCTTAATTTCACAGCCCTACATATAAGTATCGCGCCCTCCTTTGATCGCCTGATCTGGAAGGAATATACAACGTTACGTATTTACAGTGTGCCGCACTCACCTGCTTTCACTTACCTCACTAAGAAAATTAGCGTTAGTGACTTTTATACTCTTTGCAATTTCAAATTCCAAGTTGCGTTTAGAGAATTCCTTTGATTCTTTGAAAACATTATTCCAAACAACTACATCGACTTATTCGTAAAAAACAGCGCGAACTAACTTTTAAATTATGATTACAATTATCAAATATACATTTGGCTTGATTTATTTTATTCAATTAATCCGATATTGGGTTCAGACCAAGTAGTGCTGAAGTCAAGCTTAACTTCATGACGTTTTGAAAAACGGCAAAGCAGAACTTGGTTGGAGTTGAAAACGCCGGTTTTCTATTTGGGCAAGTGTGGCTCAGTGTATGCGCTGCGTATATCCGCTTCAGCGGATGAGTGCAGTGCAGCAGCACACGTACGTACAAGCGAGAGAGGCGATATTAAACGGCAAGCAATGGGTGCAAGTACGTTCTGAGTGGACCGTACGCACCAGGCGCAGTCGTACGCCTCTGACAATATCAACCGTAGAAAATTATTTTCTTCGTCGAAAATGACAGAATTTACGGGTACCGGCATGGAGTTTTTGTGAGTTGGTGGATGGGTATTTGATTGTAGTTGAACCGTTTCAGCACAACACTGCTTCTAAATTCACAATCATACTCATAGCCGCCGTTAAAAGCCAAAAATAAACACAAACGAATTCGTAACGACGAATACGACCTAATGATCTAAACCTATCTACATCCTTCACCTTGCTCCGGGACAGGTTAATCTCCAGAAGCAAGCGGACGGCCAAAGAGCGAGCACAAAGACAAAACTACAAAGACAGAAGCGCTGCATAGGGATTTAGAAACGCGCATCCGGCGCACAAACTGCCCCATATTATCGTAAAAGTTACAGTAATAATATATTACTGTATGCTATGCGCCACGTTGGACACTGCATGTTTACACGATCTGACAGTCGCAGCTGTATTGGTTGCTATGTAAAGGTCATGCACTATTATCTCTTCCTCGGTGGGAAGACCCCCTCAACAACAATCGGTTCCTCTCTGTCGTTGTGAGCATTATACCGGCACCAGCAAATCCATTTTGGACCGCATTTTCCCACCGATGAACTGATCTGCTGCTACGGCGGCGTTGCGCCTGTCGTTAATTGCATGTAAGACGCTCCGGCAGCGCCATCGGCACTGGCAAAGAGCAACCGGAAGTGACTTTCCGTCCTCTCGCCACTTAATTGGCGACACCGTCCTTAACGGTCTGCACAAAACGTTCCGCTGGTCCGTTGGACTGCGGATGTCCCGGAGGCGTCCGTATCTGCTTGGTTCCAAACTGCACACCACACTGGGCCAACGGTTCCGATGTAAACTGCGCGCTATATGATCGGAGACGATTGCGGGACATATGCCATAGCGGCTGAATAGACTGAGAAACGCTTCCACTACACCATCGATCGTGGCGTGTTTCCTGGGAATGACCTTTAGCTGGCCACTTGGACAGGGCGTCCACTATCAGTGTCCATCCCCGCAGCCGGTTTGCGGTAATGACCGGGATACCTTTCCGGCTTCCGCAAGCACCACGCAGCGGCTGGTGGTCAGTCCGTAGCGTGAACTCTCGCGCCGGCAATGTATTGGTGACATTTGCGACATTGTCAGCGATTCTTTTCCGATCGGCCCGTAATTTTTCTCCACCGGGCTCAGCGTCTTGGAGGCGTGCGCCATGGGTCGGGCGGTGCCATCTGGGAAACGGTGACATAAAACCGCCCCCGACACCATACTGTAAAGAGTATGAAGCGTGCGCCGCCGCTTATCGCTAATTAACCAGCGCTTCCTCAGGATTTTGGGGTCGATCGTTGTGCTTGTGCCTGACAGATCCAACCATTAGCCCTTTGTGGTCATTTCTTTTGATATGGCGGACGTACATTTTCTGGTTCGGTGGGCAATTTAGTATCGTGCAGATTACAGTAAACTGCAAGCAGTACTTTCGAAAAATAAGTATACATGTACATGTGGAATACTTGTCAAACGTCAAATCAAAATCGGAATACTAACCTACGCCCCATGCAGCAAGACCTTTAATAGTTATTAGTAATCATCAGCCCAGACGGTGCAGATTACGAAATACAGAGTAGAATACCGACGCAGGGACACCTGTTGCTGGTAGTACAAGCCTGGTATACAATGCTTCTACAAAGAATGAATTCGAGATTACCGTTTTGAAAAATCGCTGGTCTTGTCTTTGAAATTTTTCGGCACAGTTAACATACATCCCATGTCAAATATAAAAAACACATCGTTTAACTGTAAGAATTCATGCATTTGTTTATTTTTGAGAGATCTGGAAGATTAAAGAATTTTTCTTTGTAATTATCACGTATAATTTCTTTTAGAATCAAGAAAACTGTTACTTACTAATAAATAACAAACACCAAAACATTAAAAAGCGTGTTATATAATTTCAACAAAATTTAATTACGCTTCGTCCTTTAAAATAAAGTCAATCAGAGCAGCGGAAGGAATAAGCTGACCTGCGATGTGCGCGAGCGTGGACAGGCGCCCAGGAACACCCCGCTGAAATCGTAGAGATTCTCCGACTCCTCCGCCGTCGGCCTCCGTGCCGCGGCTGTGCGAGTGCGTCTTGGAGGGGGCCTCCACCACGCTGATCTCCAATGAGGCGCGCGGCGCCATCCGCTCCGGCGGCGGCGGGTGTTGCTGGTGGTGATTGTGGCTGTTCTGTCGTTGCAGCCGCAACGACAGCCGATCCTTCTCGGCCGGCCGCGGCACCACCCCGGGATCGGTGAGCATGCAGCGGATGTGCGCCAGAAAGCACAGGAAGATACACACGTTGAACAGCACCGCGTGCACCGTGCCCCATAAACTGCATCAAGAAAATGAGCGCTGATGTTTACTGTGTGCACAGTTTATTACCAGTTAGTATCGTGGAGGCTATACAGTAAACAGCAAGTAGTATCTGTACTTTCGAAAATTAAGTGCACATGTGGAATACTTCTCAAATGTTATGCAATGTTATGTAAATGAAAACTGGAGTATTAATCGTTAGCCGAGACGGAACAGCTTGCGAAATGGATTGCCGAAGCAGGGACACCTGTTGGTGCATGGTACAATAATTCTACAGCAAATGAATTCGAGGAATATTGTTTTCAAAAGGGGCGGGTTGTGTTCTTTGAAATGTTCCGGCACAATTAAACATACACCCCATGTATCCAGACCTTTATTTAATCAGTATCACGGAAACAGTGCAACCTTACTACTAGAAAACATTTATAACAGAAACACTTTCTCGGGGATTGTACCCATTACACAGATCGCAGTCCCTCGTTGGATAGGAAGTGTCCACAAACTCTGGAGTGTTTGGCCTGTAGTGTTGACGGCGAGGGTGTCCACGCAGGTCGCGTCGATAGCCAGCGGCTTTCCGCGTTCCCACATAGAATGTCCAAGTTAGGACATTAGTGGTTCCATAGGAATGAACCCATAGACCAGGACACAAGTGGTTCAATTGGTTCTGAACCCATGGAACCAAGCAAAGAAAACGCTGACGTTAAACAGATTCACGTCAACCAATGGAACCTAATGGAACCACCATGGAATCACAAGTGAACCAAGTCCGCTCTTACTTGCCGACATGCTTGCACACTACCTCTGTACCCCGTGAACCAATGGAACCAATGGAACCAATGGAACCTAATGGAACCACAAGTGAACCAAGTCCGCTCTTACTTGCCGACATGCCTGCACACTACCTCTATATCCCGTGAACCAATGGAACCAATGGAACCTAATGGAACCACCATGGAACCACAAGTGAACCAAGTCCGCTCTTACTTGCCGACATGCTTGCACACTACCTCTGTACCCCGTGAACCAATGGAACCAATGGAACCAATGGAACCTAATGGAACCACCATGGAACCACAAGTGAACCAAGTCCGCTCTTACTTGCCGACATGCCTGCACACTACCTCTGTATTCCGTGAACCAATGGAACCAATGGAACCTAATGGAACCACCATGGAACCACAAGTGAACCAAGTCCGCTCTTACTTGCCGACATGCCTGCACACTACCTCTGTATCCCGTGAACCAATGGAACCAATGGAACCTAATGGAACCGCCATGGAACCA